ATAGGACGTGAGGACCAAAAAAAAAGGACCGAAAAAAAGGGACCGAAATAAAACTCCACCCCCCAAAAAAAAATTAGACCCCGAGGATCAAAAAAAAAATAAGGATCAAAAAAAATTTGCCCTTTGCTATATTTGCAAGGCTTCAAGACCAGGGAACCAGAGGACCACAGGACCAAGGGACCAATGGACCACGGGACCAGGGGACCTGAGGACCGCGGGACCACGGACCACCGGACCGGAGGACTGGAGCCTGTCAGGACTCGAGCACCAGGCGAGGTCTTGGGCGCAGAGGGCAATTTTTTTTGATCCTTGTCAATTTTTTTTGATCCTTAGGTAACTTTTTTTTGATCCTTATCAAATTTTTTTGATTGATGCCTATGCCCCCTTAATGGATCTCCGCTGCAGCAGACTCAAAGGATCTTCTGTGCAGGATCGTTATTGTTACTTCACGACTTTTCCAGTCCGGTCTGGGCACAAGCCCCAGCCTACTACCACCCGCTATACTGTTATGTCAGCAATGCTCTGGACATCCCCAGCCCACTCACGCTTGTGTCATGCGCTCGCTGCGGTCCAAAGCAAATCTAGACGTGATCTCTGTGCGAATCCGCATGCACTTTTCCCATCTTTCAGCCTCTTACAATGAGAAATGCCTTACGCAACAGCGGCGACATCAACGCGTCACCTTGCAGGAGGGCTCAGCTCGAGCATCCGCAAGGCCCTCAAGGCAAGGTTTTGCGGTAGCAGCTCCGGCCTCCACATTCCTCGGCTCGTGCAGAGCGAGGCCAGCGGCTGGCCTAGCCGGCAACCATTCGGCAAAGCTTTGCTTGTTTTGTGCAAGTTTCGCATCGCTGCCAGCATCTTCCAGCCCATGCAGGAATGGTGTCGTTTGTTGTGGCAGGTATCTGCCCGTCCGTCTTCCATGCAGTATCCTGACAATGGAGGCACTGACAGTGACATTCAACGTGCTCTCGTTGCCATGTTGTATGGCACTGCATGCAACTTCCGGAACTTGTTTCCCTGCATGTCTCTCTGCAGCATCGTGCCGCAGCACCATTGGCCAACGCGAAGCCGCTGAAGCCGTTACAGCTTCACCAGCCCGCGGTAGCAATCTTTGCATGTGCAGTTCACTGATCAGCCTTCTTTTGGTGTTTGACTGCTTCTCAAAGCAGCAGTCCTGATGCAACAGATTACCGGGAAATCCTGCAACATCCTGCAACCCATCGAAGTCGCGTCCCGGGAGTGCATCAAATGGGAAATTCCCAGACTGGCAATGGAGGCGTGCTGTTAAGAAAGGCTATTTTTCAATCGTCAGATCTTTGCAGCTGCGTGAGGCAACTTCAAGGAGGTCCGGGTGGTCCTTGCAGGGATGCCCGCAGCAGGCGCCAAGTCGCTGGCGACACGCTTCACGAGCAACGTGTGGCTCGAGCGACCAGCTCCCGGAGCAGGTGGCAATCAGATGAAACGTAAAGAGCATAGCAGCATAGCATATCATACCGGCGTAGCGTAGAGGCATAGCAGGACTTCCCGGTTTGACTTGTGGAGGGCCAGTTGGCACTTTTCGATCCTGAGGTTGGGAGCCGCTCGCTCGACCTTTCGAGAGGATTCAGCTGCTGCTACTTCCTGTTGGGTCTTCCCAGGGCCTTTGGGAGCAGCTCGATTCGCACTGCTAAGGTCTGCCTATTTTTCAGCTCTTCCAGCAGCTCAGGCACATTACGGGAGCAGACGTGCTTGCCTTCGTGGTCGATGCAGACAGCTTTGATGAGGCGCGAACTCACTACAGTTGACCGGAGCTCATGGTGATAGCCGCCCCTGAATCGTGGCAGGCGCCCTTCGGCAGCTCCTTCAACAAAGCTGTTAGCTACCTGCCGGAAGGCGCACCTGTCATTCTTTTGGTGAACAAGGCCTGGCCACGACCGAGAATGGATCCTGGCTGAAGTCCGCAGACCGTGTACGACAGGTGGATGCAGACCCAGAAGACGACAGCAAAGAGGCCAGAATTGCCGTGGCAAGCAGCCCTGGAGCAGATGTTCAGGCACGGACGAGGGAATCCATCGTTGTAATGTTACCTCACCGAGAGCATTCGCGATTGAAGGCCAGGTGTAGTGCTGCTGCGGCTTCCTGCACGGTGGCAAGCACTGTCCGCCAGTGCAAAGCAATTTGGCTGAAGAGTACCGCACATGCCGTACAAACCTCATACAACTTGTTCGGGACTTCCGTAGTACCAAGTTCATTCCTCAAGGCATACCTCGTCAGTGCAAAGACCGGCTTTGGCTCCGAGGAAGCCATTCGAGCGATGTGCATCTTGGACGTGCACTTTGCTTGTAGCAACTTTCAACACAGCGTGCCGGGATTATGCGAATGAGAAATGAGACCTTGCAGCAGAATGTTTGCACGAGTTGGCGGGCGTGCTGTGCTTCGTCTCGGACACAAGCGAGAGCAGATGGCCGGATTCAGTGTGTTATTTAATGTTGTTTCCTGGACACAATGTAGTAACTACTGTAGTACGGCTCCTGTTGTCGCTCGGCGACTTGCACATGAGCCGTTCGTCAGATTGCGCCTTCCAAATCATCTTCTTTTCCTTTCCTTGTCGCAGGTGCCTGTAAGACCGCAAGCACCAGCAGACTCAGGAACAAATGATGCAGTGGCTCATTCGGTGTTTCCCGAGTTTTGCAATGCGAAGTCGCACATTCATCGTGGTGAATTTTGAAGCGGTGGTATGAGGCTGTTGATGTTGAACATGGCATGGTGCTGCTGAGTGTCTCATGATCTCGCTGGCAGAGAATCGATTCGCAAAAGGGTGGGTGTATGTCGGGAAGTCGCATGAAACTCACACTGAACGCCCGGAACAGAGGTTGTCTTGAGTGGCATTATGCATGCATTCAGTACGTAGCGGAGGCATGGGACTTGCAGCGGATAAGGTCTGTCTTTTGCTGTCCCATGTCTTGACGGGACATGGCATTTTGACTGAAGGCCCTGACACTTGGCGACTAAGCCGGTGTCACGTCCGACTATGCATGTTGGAGCCAGTGAAGGGAACAGCTGTATGGAAATTAAGCATTTGCAAAAACTTACCTGGCCCGCAGCCGACACGGTCGAGCATCCCGCGTTCCAGATGGTACAATCTGGTTGAACTTGCCGACTCTGCGTGGATGCATGCCGACTTCACGACATGTCGGGCACTCCAGCCTCCAATCAGTAGTTACAAGTTACAAGCATCGCCGCATCATCTTTGCATCACCGGTTGCACACTGTCACTGCAGCGGTCAGCAATGGTCAACATCTGAGTTGTACTGCTTGCGGAGCGCCCGCCGTCTCATTGCTAACAATCATGGTCGATGTGCTCCCTGTCATTGTCTTCAACATTCAAACTGTTGTTTTTTATTCTTTTCATCTCCATACTAATGCTTGTCTTAGTCTCGCAGTCGTCGACATCCTCCGCAGCATGAGCATCGCCATCATCATCACTGATTCTTGAACTGTTGCCTGCTTCTTCCTCATCACCATCATCGTCATCATCATCATCTTCACCGTCATCATCATCATCATCGTCGTCGTCATCATCATCGCCATCATCATCGTCATCATCACCATCGTCATCATCATCATCATCATCGTCATCATCATCATCATCATCGTCATCATCATCAACATAACCATCATCACCATCATCACCATCATCATCATCTTCAACATAGCCATCATCATCAACAACATAACCATCATCATCATCAGCAGCATCATCCTCATCCTCGTCATAAGCATCATTTTCAGCGGCGGCCCCATGGTCATCGGCGTTGACATTGTCGTCACTTCATGAACACCATCAGGGTCATCGCCATGATCGCTGCCGCCACGATCCCCAGCATCGCCGTCGCTAGCATCAGCTCTGCAGGCTTGTCAGGCCTCTGCAGTCTGTGGAGGGCAGGCCTCTGTGAGCCTGTTTAGGCTGAGGGCGGCTGTAGCTTTGGCCTTTGGGACTCGCCTCTGAAAACCAATATCGTCGTCAGCACACTGCAGCACGGGAGCACCCTCCCGATCTGCATCTCCATCTTAAATGTCATCATCCTCACGACAGTAGTGATGCCCCTTGCCAGCTTCTGCAACCATCTGCAGCAGCATCGTTATTGCGACATCATGCAGCAAAAGGCAAAGTCCTAAAGTCCTTGCTGTCAAGATGATCGAAGGTGGACCTGTGACCTGTCAGCTTAGGTGGAGTGCGCCTCATATTCTGATGCTGCAGCCTGGCCAAAGAATATGCCTCGAAGCTGTTCCCGAGATGGAGCTCTGACTTGGTGTCGAAATTGTAGTTTTGTGGCACAGCGTTGTACAGACCAAATTTGCGCGCGGCCAAAGATGCCACCACATTACAACATGTTGATCGTGACTCCCGTGCACTGGCAGTGCGGTCCGTGACAGAAAGCACCAGTTTTGCAGCATCCTTGTCCTTTGCAGAGAAGCAGTGCAGTTGTGGTCTCGGCGTGGTGAGAGGCCTGGTGCCAAGTGTGGGTGGACCTGCGGTCAGCGCCGAGGACGAGACTCCGGGACTCAGAAAATTGCCAGCCCTTTCTGCTGTCAGTGCGCCTTTGCCCCTTTCTGAACAGCTCGTCAGCCACGAAATGCACTCCGCAGATCCCTGCATGGACTAGCAGGCGGAAACGACTTGTGGAGCATCTGGGGACGAGGCCCGTGATAAGCCTTACAACTCTTGGAAAGGGGCTTAATTCGCCCAAGATATGAGCACCCACTGGCCAAAACCCAGGCCATGAGAACCCATTTGGGGCAAGCCAGCCGTGACAAGCTTGGGCTGGGAAGAACAGGATGGCAACAAACTTACAAAACTCCTTTCAGATGCTCGAGCCGCACGAGAACTCAGAACTGACAATTAAAATTACACGATCGAGCGTCTAGTCCTGGATTGCCAACCACTTCGGAGCATCATGTGCAGGAGTGTGATTGGCAACAACATTTGCCTGAGTTCCAACTGTTGGGTATCACAGCATGCAATGCCAGCAAACAAGTTTAAGACAGAACTTATTGAATGCATTCAGAACATGCCGTCAACCTGGCCGTAGCAACTGCTAGCCAGATCGGCACATGCGCAACCAAGAATTTACCTTCGCAACTTGTTTCCAATTTCTACAATAATAATAAGATGTTGATCAAGGCGTCGTAAGAGACGCAGCGTGCCAGGCATCAACTCAGCCACACAAGAGAAGGAAGAAAGGCCCGCCTTGCTCTTCCTGGACTTCGCCGTTGTTCCCGCAGCAATTGAGAGCAGTTGCATGCCTGTGCTCAAGAATGACTTCTGCGCAGGCTTGGTGGAAATGCTGAGCAAGAGGCATGTCAGCTGTGGATGTTTGCAGCTTGCTGCTTCGTGCTGTCAGTCGGGCAATCACGGAGAGCGTGCCCTCAGGTGCCAGGGCCACTCTTTTGAAGTTGAATTGCTGGATTGCTGGTGCTGGTCATGTTGGGCCGGGAAGGAGCCTCCTCGGTGCCAAAGCGAGCACCCCACACTCGAGGACTCGCAAGTGCCCCGAGTGCTCCGAAGGAGAGACGGCAGAGGCAGACGCCTCAGCAAACAGAAAAAGTCAAGGAGAGCTTGTCATGATGGATGATTGTTTTGGAAAGTCAGCCTAGTCATCAGTCCCATTGCACTTGCTTCGACATGAAGTCCTCATCGGGTATCCTCAAAGCGAAAGTATTAAGGCCGAGTGGAGCCTCCGACATGGCATCGGATCGGGTTGGAGCCATCGCTGCAGCAGAGACTTCTGCGGACAAGCCCGGGCCTTTGTTGACGTCGGCAGTTGGTCGTGGGTTGTCGTGGGCAGCTGGCGAAACCACAGGCCATCTCTTCTTAAGCGGCGCAGACACATCGCTTCTGAGACGCAGGAGCATGCTAGGAGAACTTGATGAATGCTTGGACCCCGTGCCAACTTGAAGTATCAACCGTGGTTCAGCTGTGAACCCGTCTGACGGATGCGTGAGGAGAGCGTTTGAGTGACGACTCGGTGGAGCCTGGTCAGAGTGGACACGGAGAAGTTGCATGAGAAAGTGATGGAACAGGGATTCGACACTGCAGCGCTTTGAGCGCGATCGCCGCAAGCATCTGCAGGCGACAGCTCTCGACAGACGTGCAGAGCTGTTCAGCAACGCTTTGTAGCCCTGGCAGCCTCGTCTCACGACGCGTTGGATAGATTGTGTTCGGCCAAGGTGCCGGATGTTCGAGGGGTTCGAGTCCAGAAAAATCCGACCCTCCCTGTGCAGTACTGTGCCGGAATGACAAAACTGATTTCATGTGCCGTCCCGTGGCAGGTAAGCACCGGCCTGCCTGTTATGATACTCCCCCGGAATCACGCCAATTGGGTTGTGCTGGCATGTTTGTTCTAGGACGATTGATGCATTTTGATAGCGCTGGCCATGAGGATCTTGCCACAGGTCTGGAGCTTGGCATGGTCCCCTGATGGGAGCAGGCTTGCTACTGGAGGCCTGCAGCGCGGTATCTGCTGCCTCAGCCTGGGAGGGGCTACCACCACTCCACCCCCTCATCCCACGAAGGGGGGGGGGAAACGCAACACTACCGCCCCTCCCAAGGTGAAGAGGTGGGGGACGTACCACCAGCCCCTCAAAACCGCACTTTGTTAATTTGTTTTGCTATTAGGCGTGTTGGTAAACTAGTACTATTATCATTACAATATTGTGGAGGGGGGGTGGTGGTGCGGGGCATTTGTTGTGAGGCCGCGGGTGGGGGTGGTGGTGGTGGTGGTGGTGGTGGTGGTATCTTACGGCAAGAGAGGCGGGGGGTGGTGGTGTGGTCATGGGGCTCAGGAAAGTCGAGCTACCCCCCCACAAACTTGAGAACTCTCGAAGGACGTGTCAGCTGCACAAGTCACAGCATGAGTGCAGAATGTTGACAGGCTCCGATGCCCGGATCTTGATATGGGATGCACAGGAAGCCATGAGCCCAGACATTGCACTGCCACAGCGTTTCGTCTGGCAACTTGGTACACGCGTATCCAGTGCTCATCCCAGTGCAGGGACAGCCCATGCAGAAAAAAATATCAATCTGAAAATGTAAGAGCAGAATGCAGCAGTGCGACTGTAACAGGCTTGGTAGACTGATGCAAAGGGGTGCTATCAAAGTTTGTTCCAAGCAGATGAGCCCAGAGGCAGCAGAAGGGGCACAGCGGGTCCAAGAACTAAGTGCGCGAGCTGCGATGGACTGCCAAGAAGACGAGTGACTCCAGCCGGAATATTGAAAATTTCCCAGCCCACAGGACCCCTCCTGGGCGCAAACAGCTGCAGAGGAAGCTGAGAAGGCCAAGTGTCAAGTGTGGTCTGGATTTCCTTTCGGATCTCCTTCTCGCCTTTTCATGCAGGCCCCGGGAGTGTCTTAGCTTCTTGCGCGAGACTCTTTCGGCTCAGCTGTCCAGGTTTCCCCGCCCGCAACCATCCGCAGCTCATTGCTTCCCAATTCGGCATCTTCGCAGAAGTAGACTCGGCGTAGAAACCATGTGATGCAGTCTCATTACCGTAGTGGCGGCGAAGCCGTGATGGCAGCAGAAAGGCAGAGATGCGTGTGATTTCGGCCTGCCCATGCTGTGCGCAGTCTGTGTTTGTCAGCATGTCCGTTGTCAGTAGAAGCTGTTTCCGGCTCGAGTCTGACTCGCATTCTGCCATGGCATGCAGCTCACATTTCCGAAGGCGATGCTCAGACTTTGGACAAGTATCCTGAACTGTGTTGCGCTTTCACGTATAAGTTTTCAGGCCAAGTTGCCAGGGGTGAGCAAGTGACGCATGCACATTGACTTTTGACTCCCGATGTTTGGTTCGAAATGTCTTCCGGCAAGCTGTATAGACAAGGCAAACGGAGCTGACTTTAGCTGACTCTCATTCAAGGCATTGAGCAGATCTGTCTCCCAACGGTTCCGGAGATCGTTTTCCTCAGAGGCTTGATGCCTATGTTGTTTATGGCAAGAGAGCGACTGAGAGCTGAGAGGCACCCATCTCTGCAGTCCAGGTCGTTGCGGCGACGGTGGCGAATCCTGTGCCTAATGGGATTCCGCAGCCAATTCAACCCGTTCTGTGGGGCACCAGTATGAAGGTGACTTGGTCAAGTGCTGTCAGCTGAAGCAGCAAGCTTGACGACAAGGAGTCGGTAGCCATGGCTCAGGGGATCTCAGGGGAATGACATTTGAGAGATTTGGAACGATTAGAAGAGCTGCTCGTCTATCCACGGGGTACAGGTGTTCTCGAAGTCAACAGACGTAGAAGGGATCACAGAGATGAAAGCAAGCACGTTCAGTTAGACCCTCAGATCCTGCCCAATTGGTTTTGTGGGTAGCTGGACTAGTTTTGGTAGAAGGGTTCAACTTTAGTACAAGCTGCTGGGTCAAGGGTTGAGCGTTTTGTATTATCGAGCCTTGCCACATGAGTCAAGCTTAGCATGCTGTAAATACACCGGGTGCCAAGTGCAGACACATGGTTCGAAAGGATAATTTTGCTTGCATCGTAGATCTTGGCCATATCTTGCGAGCAACGGACATCTGCAGTGCGAAGCCAGGCGGAGCAGATAAAGCCTGTACAGCTTTGTCGCAGCATCCGAAGCAGGAACCCTCAAGCGAGAGAACTGTTGCTGAACCATCGCCATCATCTTTTTCGGGCTTCGATTGGAGTTTAGATTGCCATGCTGTGCGCACTGCATCCCGAAAGTGTCTCCTCAGATCGGTTTCAGTATGAGCGCAACAACCACAGGCACTGCCACATGCAAACGCACACGTTGGCACGTGCAGGCACTGGTGAAGACGGAGCGTGCGGAGGGCCTGACACTGACCACGGTTCCAAAGCCTGCCGTCGGGCCAAACGATGTTCTGATTGAGATCCAGAAGATTCTCAGCTTGAATCAGGTCACCTAGGCAAGCTTGCGTCACTTCCCTCAAGCATCCTGGTTGCGGTCTGCATGTTCAAATTGCCAGCAACACCAAGACCTCGTCGCGAGCTGAGCATGCAGATAGCTGCCACTAGCTCGTGTAAAGACATATTAAATCCCGTTGAGGCTTGTTTTCTTTGCACACCCTGCAGAATTCAAGAGCATCCTGGGACGTGCTACGCGGTCGTATGACCCAGAAGATTGTGGGTATGTCAACGTTCTTCTTGCAACTCGCTTACAGCCGGTGGTGCTACGTGTGAAGTTCTGGAAGTACGTTAATGAAACATCACAAGGGACGTTTTTCGTGGGTCTGACGCTATGCACTCCGTCCTGACAATTGCATCGGGGCGCGTCGCAAACGTATTTTCCATCATGTCATGATGCACACTCACAAACCCATCGGTCAGGATGCACAACATGGCAAATCTGGCTTACACGGGTTTCTTTCACAATGCTTGCACTTCTCGTCTCAGTGCTCACGTCCGGAAAGTTGGATACGTTCTGTCTCCAAAGCGTGGCCAAGGTGTTTTTCCCGTGAAGCTGGTTGGAACTGGTTTGGATTGCATGATGTGATGTTGTTTGGATGGCATGATGTCACGCTGTTGACTTGAGGAGGACTTGAGGTTGTCTTTGAGGTTGTCTTTGAGGTTGCATGGCAAGGTTTTCCCGAGGTCGGTTGGCCGTTTGGTTTGGGTTTTCGCGAGGTTGCGGAACAAGCCGGAGATTGTGCTGCGTGTGTGGTGCCGTGACGATTCATTCGTGTTCCGAATTGACAACCCTGTTTGTGCAATGTGGTGTCCGCTTCCTCCGGTCGCGGCGATCCGTTGTGAATTGTAGTACATTGGTCTCCACGTTGGTCTCGAATTGGCAACCATCTCGATGGACATGCCGCGACCCTGTAAATCTCAAACGTTGACCTGCCGCTGTCGCACGTTGACAACCCTCTCGGTGTTACCGGGGTGTCGGGGCGCTGAGCGTGTGATGCCGAGTATAGTGCGACACATTGTGGCCGTGCTCTTCAATCACGCAAGTATGTGGACGAAACATTGTTGTCATGTCTGCGAATCCGCCGCAGGTCCTGAATCCCAGAAGGGTTATACAGGGGATTCGTAGCGCCGGCCACAGTTTATGAAGTATATGAGACTACCACGAAACGCACACTCAGCACCGCTGGGGTTGGTGCGCAATGAAGGCTGCGCACCGTTGTTCGCTGCTTCTGGTTTCACAGTGCCTCTCTTTTTTGGTTCCCGCAGAGTCTTCAAGGCCGTTTTGCGGTCTTCCTTGTCGGTTCTGGGGTGACGTTGCCGTCTGGTCTTGGGGTCTGCTCTCGATGCAGCTGGAGTCGTCTCCTCTCGGGCTTTTTTTGTCCTGCTTCTAATTCTGGCAGCACATCTTGCTTTCTTCTGGCAGCTGCCATGCTTGTCCCATCATACCATACACAAAAGATGAGCCTGATCTGCAAGCCGAAATTATGACACTCTCCCCATCTAGCCGAAAACTTTGACTGACTTCCGTGGCAGGCGGGCTGATTTGATTTCCACTCGATCCTTGAATTGTCTCACTTCCTGAGCAACGCGCTCAAGCCACGAACGCTTAAGAAGGAGTTTTGAAAAACAAGTTGGTCCGAAAGGAATCGTTTCGAGGCTCAGGCTGAGGGATGTGTGCCTTGGTCACCGGCAGCCTTGCCGTTTGTGCGAGCCGTGTCTTTAGCCTTTTGCAGACTCCGCCATTGAACAAACTGCGGCATACAGACCAAGACTCTGTGACTCTGTGAGCAGCATTCTGTGAAGCTTTGTAGACGGGGTGATAATTATAGAGCGTTAATGGAGGGTTTTTCTTCACAGGTTATGGATGGATGGACGGACACGACACACGGATGAACAGATAAACGGATGAATGCATGATCGGACGATGGGAGGATGCCAGCCAGATGAGATTATGTTGGGTGTTACCTCGCTGTTCTGAGTGCTTGTGGGACATTCGTTGATTGGTTCTCCCCGGCCAGTGCTTCTACAGTCGAATCATGTCGCGTCAATGTGCATGACACACGAGACCAAAATGCCCCAGGTTGTTTGGGAATCACGTCGGATAATGGTTGTGCGAATCCCAGTACAACCTGTCCCGCCAACGTCCACGAAACGAAAATGTTGGTGACAGCGACAATCCTGACCACGTTGTGAGCGAAGTCGAATTGCCACTAGGAAAAGACACTCATCGGGAGATCAACTCCGAGTGAAGGCCGACAGCAGAGATGGGGGAAGCCTAACCTAAAACCCCCAACCAGGCACAGAGGGAGGGACAGGCCCCAACAAAGGAAAACCTGTGCAAATCCAGCAATCTGGGCATTCTACGTACCTGAGGCACGCAGGAAGGAAACTTTACAGGCATCGGCAAGCTGCAAGGCTCTTGCGGACACTAGCAAGATGGTCAAGCACTCGGAGATTCAGGGCTCTAGTACGCGTCGGCACAGCCCAACATGGCCAACCCATCCTACGCTGCATGTTGTCCACGAAACCACATCCTGCGAAGTCCCTCAGGAGCCAAGAAACCCGTTAAATAAAGACATAAGTCACATACCGAAGAGCCAGGACTGCTTCAAACAACTCAAGAGCAACTCCTGTTAGCCACGACCTTCCAAGGACGGCCATTTGTGGCACGGATGTGCATATCTATGACTGGAACGAGTGGGCCGTGCGAACAATTCCAACTCCCATGGTCGTTGGGCACGAGTACTGTGGAATAGTAAAGGAGCTTGGCCTTAGCCTTACCATGCTTTCCATCTGAGTGGATTTGCAAGTTTCGCCAAAGCTATGCCAAAGCAATGGTGGTCGACATGAGCAAAATAAGGTTCAGAAGTGACTGGCCTCAAAGTCGGCGCCCGTGTCACAGGAGAAGGCCACATCACATGTGGCGTGTGTCGGAACTGTCGAGCCGGCAGACGACACTTGTGCAGAGAAACTGTTGGTGTCGGTGTCAATAGACCTGGAGCTTTTGCTGAGTACCTTTGCCTTCCTGCTTACAACGTCTTCCAGCTCAGCAGTGGTGTATCTGATGATGTGGCTAGCTTCATGGATGCTTTGGGGAACGCCACGCACACTGCCCTGAGCTTCGATCTGGTAGGCGAGGATGTGCTGATCACGGGAGCTGGACCCATCGGAGTCATGGCTGCGGCAATTTGCCGCCATGTCGGTGCACGCCACGTCGTAGTCACCGACATCAACGATTTCCGTTTGGACCTTGCCATGAAGTGTGGAGCAACCAGAGCCATTAATGTTGGCCAGGGTGATCCCACGGAAAGAATCAGGTCGGTGATGCGCGAACTTCACATGACGGAAGGCTTCGACATTGGCTTGGAGATGTCTGGAGTTCCTGTAGCGGTGCACTCGATGCTGGATACGCTGAATGTCGGTGCTCGCGTAGCTCTGTTGGGAATACCATCGAAGCCCTTCGCGATCAACTGGGACCAAGTGATCTTCAAGGGTCTTGAAATCAAAGGAATCTACGGCAGAGAAATGTTTGAAACCTGGTACAAGATGTGACTCAGCTGCACCCAATTTCCGTGCTTATACTGGTTTCAATGCCACCTGCAGCCTGTCGGCATCGGCGTCTGCTCAGGCCTCATGGGTAACTCCATCTAAGGGCTGCTTCGGGCTTTGAAGGAGCAACTATACCGCACCAGCAACTGGCCTAGGAATGTGCTTGCGATTCTGAGGCAGAGTATGTTGGTTGGTGGACTTCAGGACAAAGTGGCACCCGTGATTACACACAGGCCAACATGGGTCGTGGGAAGACTTGCCGATTTGCAGGAGGACTGCGCACACTTGTGCACGTCAGCCCTGTCGAAAGGTATTCGGTTGATCAATATCAAGCTGGATTCGATGCCATGTTATCTGGACAAGCCGGAAAAGTAGCGCCCATCTCAGCCTGCGCTGCATGTGAACATGTGATAATGAGAGAGTGTCGTCCCTAGACTACGCTCATGTTGTGAGGTCCTTAGCTGGAACTGAGCCTGGCTTAGCTTTTGCAGCGTGTCTGCGACTTCGAGCGTTTCTGTTTCGCAGACAAAGTGTCAAGTGAATGCGATCTGTTGATGCTATGGTTGGTCTGCTCTGTTCACTTCATTGATAAAGCTTCGTCTCACCCGTTATACATTCACTTCGGGCATTTGGTTCGTACGCATGTCTTCCACAATGTTGCGACTTTGCGTGCAGACTGCATGCAGCTGCGCCTTCCCCTTACGGCAATCTCGTGTGTTTGGGTAACTAGAGGTATTTTTTATCTGCGCTTGGCTGCACAAGGTCGTGCCTGCAGAATGCCGCAACTGTTGTGGGTTGTGCATAGAACGTGAAGCAAATTTGCTGCAACCTAAGCTTTGTGAGCGGGAGCCCCTCAGTGGGGCAGCTGCCCAAAGCAGGCAGGCAACAGGCCGCACCAGCGACGGCAGCCACGAGCCACGAGCAAACGACTCTGAACAAAGTTGCTGTGACAGTGCATTCACGGACGTCCCACCTGTACTCGGAACAGCTGTTTTCGCTGTAAATCCGCATGCATAGCCGGTATACTGAACTATGCACACAGGCGGCGGCCTTCAACTCCCGAAGGCCGTTCATCGGCTTCTCACAGGTCCGTGCAGGGTTCTACTTGTTTGTGCGCATTGCTCGTTTGATTTGCGAGGACGCGCATGCATCGGAACTGGATGCGCCGTCTCATTTGTGAGATAAATGCATCGCACTGCTCTTGGCAATGCACTGGAAAAGACCGGCGGTTGGGTCCGGAAGTTGCTCGAAGTGTCCGGGAAACGGCTGCAGCGAAAGATGTCAGACAGCTCCAGCGGTCGCGCGCAGACCAAGTTGGCAGGCTTCTCAACTTGCCCAGCCTCTGACCTTCTGGCAGGCCAAGCTGTCAATGCACAGTTCTCAGCTGTTAGCACGAACCGTTTCGCTGTCAAAACGGCAGGCACATGAGAAAAGCATTCACGACCTTGTTTTTGCTCCAAGCGCAGGAGCCCTAGCTTTGCTTACAGGCGATTCGAGCTCGAGTCCAGCATACCGTTTTGCACAGACCACCCGCTGTTGTCCATGACGGGGACAGTACCTGATGTTCTCAAGGAATCTCGCATGCTCCTATCCTGCGGAGCAGAAGGCTCTATTGCAGTGCGCCTGCCGGGTTGTGACAGTCTAGTGTGTCGTGAATTGCTGCATACCTCAAATACATCTGATGACAGCTCGGCTTCTTCAGGCAGTGAGAAAGGACATGGTGCGTCTGTGCTTCTTGTAGGGCGAAGACTTAAGACTTAAGCCACAAGCCATGTACCTCTAGCGCTGCGCACGCTGTGATGCGAAGTCGCCGAAAGCTATGGCTGCTCTCGGCTCTGCTTCCGGGACCTGAAACTTTGCCCGTCTTGAATCGATTCATGCGATTCTTCGTGTCATGTGGTCAAACTGTACATAACTGTGCTAAACTTTAGGCAGCTCATCGCAACAAGAGCTCTAGAGCCAGGATCTGTGTGCTTCAGCTGCGACCACTCTTCCTCTTAGAGCTGTGATTCTGTCCTGCAAAGCACATAGATAGTTCTGACTGTGTGGCAGCACCTTCGCTGTGGCAAGCCGCTTGCATAAAGCTGAATTCAAGCCGGGGCTTCGCACAAGCAAGGAAGCAGTGACTAGCAAACCAATTTAATTGTAAACTTTCAGTAAACTGGTTCTAGTCCAGCATGTGCCGATCGTGTGCAGCCCATCTCAGAGGTTTATGTCGGACGAGGCTTTGATGTCCCTTGCTAACCAGATGTCGTGACTTCCGTCTTCCAGGACTGGCGGCTTTCAACGAGGTTCCCTGCAAGGCTGTGGCCCTCTGAGGGCCTATAGGGCCTAAGGGAGCTAGCGGCCTAATGCCGCACTCCGTGCCCAGGATCTGGAAGCTCTCGACTGTGGGCATGAGTTCTTCAATCAGATTTACCAGTCGCTTGGGCTTGGACTCGGCCGACGGCGGCCGCGAAATCTTCCGACTAAGGCAGTTCCAGGAAGCGCAGCGCGAAGTCATCATTATGCCCTTTATTCTCAGGCCCAGGCCAGGCGCTGCACATGAGAACAGAGTCAGATTCGTGTTCGACGTCAAGAGCACGAGGCTGAAGATTTTCAGCTCCAAGCCGGATCGAGCACCCGACTCTCAGCCGAAAAGGTGCTGTCAACGAATTCATAGACGAAGGGACCTGTACCAAGGACACATCCCTTGCAGACCTTATCCGCGAGGCAGTTCGTCAGTGCGTATATTGTTCAGTGTTCCGTTCAACACAAAGAGAGGTCTGTTTTCCCGTGCGAGCATGTGCCGCTTGCGTGCAGGCTGTCAGACGAAGAGTGCATGTTTGGATTTTGGGCTGGGCTGGGGTCTCAGAACCTGCCACTGCACTGCAAGTAACCCAGCACAATGTCATAAAGACGCACTGAGTCAGGCAGGCCAAACATGGCCCTGAACATCATCAGACCCAGTCCTGCAGGGCGCTACATCAAGTTCGCCGGGTTGACACTTTCAAAATCGCGGAAGCTGTGGTGCAGGTCTGCAGGATCGTCGGTGCCAGGGCTTTCCAGTATCCGACAATTTTGCCGGATCACGGATAAAGATCCGGATTTGCTCGGGGGACTGTCTTCTCGATGAAGCCAAGAACCAGGCGCCACGACACGGCACAAGGATCTGAGAAGCAGATTTTTTGCGAAAGCAAGGCTCGACTGGAGCTCTTGCAGCAGTGCCTGTAGCATGCAAAAATTGACCTCTAGGACATCCGTGGGTCCACCGAAACTGAGACAGCATGGGTATGGGCACTTGTGCAAAGCTGTGATAAAGTCGATAGGCAGGCCTTGACCCTTGCAGTATCAGCAGACAGAAGGAACGCACTGCCTTGCACCTGAAGGCTCTCGGCCACAGTAATTCCGACAAGCGAGCCGTGAAAGGTGCCTTGAGCTTCAGGACAATCCTCCTTCTATCACTTCTGTCCTTTTCCCGATATATTTGGCATGAGGTTGCTGTTTGCTTGGCGTTGTTTGCCGTGTCGCCGCCTCGTCGAAACTCACTACTGTTGTCTTTCTCGCGATTGCTGATTCTTCGCAAAATGAAGGGCCGGCAAGACTGGGCAGGCTTGTTGGCACACAGTAGCGAAGAGACCGTGCTGCCGTGTCCAGATGGTTTCTCAAGCTGTCTTGTTGCGTTTCCCATGCAAGCACACGCAAAGAAACTGCACAGTCGTGCAGCAAAGCAAGCGGAGCAGCGTTAATGTCCCTGAAACAGCAAGCTTTGGACACTCGGCATCGTCCAGAAGCCTCTAAGGACAATGCCGCCTCCGAGAAGTACCTGGGATTGTTTCAGGACATGACCTCTATCTGCTCGCAAGTGTTCGGGAGCCGTAGACTGGGCTGACGTTCGCTCAGGGCTTCGGATGTGCTTCGAAGTTAATTGCAACTTTCTGTAAGGCGAGGGCCGTCTGCTTTCTCCCGGTAGCCGCAAATCCTGCCTGCCCTTTGCTCTATGAGCTGACATGTCTAGACTACTTCTACACCACACTGACCATTTGGCTTCCTGGTTTATGGACATGGAATGATCACCTCGCCGTCGCAGACTGTTCACGTGTTCAGGCTGCTGGAAGGTTTGCGCTTGAGGCGTTGATGACGTTCAGCTGCCAGGTCTATTCGAGTTTTAAGCACCCTCACTGTGGGTTGTATATTTGGCGCATTTTGGTGCTTTCAGCAGAAAATTTGTGGCAGCTGTAGTTTGGAACCAAGATACTGCCTTGACCTCTACGAACTCTCCGTTTACAAGGATTCACATACTTCAGCTGCTTGCGCGAAGCTCGGGGCAGCCTGGGCCGTAAATCATGTCAATTCGAACGTTGACTAAATTCGCGGACTTCAGCAAGGACGTCTGCTGGAATTGCCCAGAACATGACTGAAGAAACCGTGGCCGAGTAGTAATCATGCTCTCAAGCTGCGCTTCGGCACCGCCCTTGATCAATAACTCCTGAAGAACAGTGGGCATGTATCTGTGCTACATGTTGCGCTGCAAGGACCAGTAAGCCGCACACGGGTCCATAGCTGTTTCGTATTCGCATGTTATGATATTGTGTCTACTTATCGTCGAGCCAACTACCTCATCCTGCGAGGATCACGAGTTCGAGCTGTTGTTTGAGTCTGCGGGCGAGGCTGCTTTGCGTACTTGCAATTGTGCAGTCTGGGACCTTATGTTTCCATTGGCACGGCTACAGGCCTTCACAGACCAGGCTAGGTCGGCTAGGTTATATGCTCCGTCCTGCGCTGCGACTGATTTTGCTTGAATGTAGATTCAGATTCAGGCACTGTGGCTGCGTACGACAATCAATTTTCTCTCGAGCGATCTCTTAAAAAGACAAAAAAGAAGCCAGCGAAAGCTGTATACAGGCTATCACGGATAGTTTTGGGCTTCAGAGACTCGAAAGCATGGGGTGTCAAGCGGAGCTTCCCTAATGGCCCTGGCCCAGCGTCTCGACGCGGGCCCAAGCTCGGGGAGTGAAAGCGAGCTCGGCTCCTCCCAGAACCGTGACACGCTGCTGGAGCAGCGTATTTGGTGGCAAGCAGTTGGTGATGCGACCCGCTACGGAGTGAACCTTAGACGAGAACTGTGTGCAGAGCTCGTTGCTCTGGAAAAGGGCTCAGCATCCTTTGAGCAGTGGACGGAGCAATGCCGCACTTGGACGCCAATCAAGTTGACAGTTGCCCTGGAGAGCTTTTCATCCATGGCTGGCCAGCCATATCTCCTGAGACTCATGAATGCGTTGGTTAAAGAAGTTCCTTCTGAAGTGTTCGATGATGAGCTTGAGAATTCTGACACTCCTGGTATTGTAAAGTCTTTCAAGCAATTGGCGTGCTTGCAGAGCCTTGGGCAAGATGAGTGCGACACGTTAGAGTCGGCTCTGAGTCAGTCTGATGGCACCGTTGTTTCAACATGGATGCCAGCAAGCTGGCAATGGATGCACGTATTTGTCTCGAAGCGGCACTTGCAACACTATTTGTCCTTTGATTACCAGTACCCACACGAGTACAAACCCAACTTTGGGCGGTCATGCCGAGCGCGCTGCTCGCGTGGCAGGGGCAACCACTTCCAACTTTGCAAAGCGAGCTTTGCATACAGCCCGGCCTTGATGCTCTTTAAAGCGAGCAGCCGCCAGCAGGCGATGATGATCCGGGCCTTCGCTGACTGTGGGACGCGCAGCCATGTGCTGACAAGCACGCTTGGACAGGGCATATTGATTCAAGCCTGGCTTCTAGAGAACCAATGCTTCTTCCTTGACCTAGCAATAGATGTTGTTATTCTCGTTGGCCTCGTCGATGCAAGCGCATCCTTACGCCATTACATGTATCCATCCGAATCGGTTTTAGCAGTCCTATGCCTGCTGGCTGGAAGATCTTGCCTCCATTCTCTGATAATCGCATGGCAGCACTCGCAGCTGTTCCGGGGAATGGATGTTTACACTAGTTGCCTCTGGAAGCTGCAGAAATTTGCAACTGCTCAAAACTTGTTTACGATGGTCCTGCAGATCTACAGTTGCTGTGTCCTCGGATGGGCACTGGTCATGGTCTTGGACCACGGGCAAAAGGGATGCAGGGGCAGCCGCCATGCGAAGTCCTGCCATCTCTTCGAATACATCAACCTGGTCTCTTTCATGATTTTCTTTCGCTGGCTGACATTCGTGCAAAACTGTTTGGGCATTCGGACAGTTGGTGAGAATGTGCTCCCTGCTTTCCATGCTGTCAGTCAGCCCGAAGCTTTGTACTTCTTGCTTTTCCTGGCGCTCATAGTTCTTGCTTCTTTCCATGCCTACTATGCATTTCCCACGGAAGACATTGATGTTCACGGAGGTTTCGGGAATGTCGCATGGCAAGAAGCGCTCTCGAGCTTTCTTCGTATCTTTCGATTGGAAGTCCTAGGTGACTTTGACATGGGCGAATTGGAAGGCAGGGGTGAGTTTCTGAATGCTTCTTTCAAGCGTGGGACCATTGCCGCCGAGCTGGAGGAAGACCTTCCCAAGCCTTTCCACGATGGTTTGCGTTACATGTTCGTGCTGTTGAGCCTCGTGGTAAATGTGATCATGATGAACGTGTACATCGGGCTTCTCAGCAGCCTTTATGATGCGGCCAAGCAGGAGAAACGCCAAATCTATTTCCAGTTCTTGGCAAACCAGGCATATCGCTATGTTTTGCTGCGGAGCTTTTGGGATGAACTGCGATGTGCAAGTAAAACCCATCAGGCAAGTGAACTTAAACGACTGGACTCCGCTGTCGAAGAGCGCGACACTGACGATGATGACGACGAGAATGACGATGACGGCGATGATGATTTGGCATGGTTTGTCTTCGAGCAGCATCGAGTAAGAGAGGATGCATGCTGAGCAGCTCGAAACAAAAAGGTGCTGGTTTCGTGCTTGATGGATTTGATTTGCAAAGTTGTGCCATGGGATGAGCTTCGAGTCGTGGAATGAAAGATATGGCTAAGCATGCATAGCCTCAAGGAGGGAGTCCAAGTCTTGGTGCTGCACGACGTGAGCTGACTGGCCATATTATACTGTAAGATGGCTCGGGTTGCTCAGTCTTCGTCTTGAGGCCAGGGCCAAGGGACATGCGCAGATCGAACCAAGCCTCGGCAGCGCCTCGCCAGGGGAAGCAGTACCTGCATCTGATGCTGGACACAGGCAATGTCCAAGGGACGGGAGAGCCTCGAAGTCATTCTAGTGTTCGATCTTGACGCCCTTTGCACGAAGTTTAGCATGCCGTCTAGAGTTCAGCTGTTGTGCGAAGTCGTAACAGGGTCTGGCATCGTATGTCGAGTGCTGATGGCGGATGAAAGGCAGTTGGGTATCTTGAAATTTGCACACCATGCACACCACTGCACTTCGACAAACCCTGAGGGACATTGAGATGGGAAGTACCGATAAATAATGTCCTTTGCAGAGCGGGGGGGGGGCCGCATAGCGAGAAAATCTCAACAGTTTCGGGGCAAAGCAACTATCACAGCGAATAGTGCCTATCGCCCGGTTGCACCATGTCAGAACCGCCGAAGTCACCCTCAAAAAGTTCCAGGCAACAGTGGAAATCTGTAATTCCCTCGGTTTCGCTGCGCCGCTTGACAAGCAAGGGCAACGATACCAGCGAATCACGCCCGTGAAACAGTTCAATTACTGGTGTGCCGCACACCCTCTCGAATAGGGAAGAAGATGATGAAACATGATGAGGCTGGAGTGAAGTCCCAAGGAGTGGCTGTATGTCACTAGGAACAGGACTTGCTTGTTTATTGACCTCAAGGCTCTCGCAGCTCTAGGATCACGGTGCCATGGAGTAACCAGAGTTACCGCAGTTTCTTGTGGACAGGCCGGCAGCTTCTTGCTTCAGTGTACTATTTGCCAGCAGCTCTGCTTTTCACTTGGCCTTCAGCTTGTGCAATCTGTGTACCGCGCTTTTCGGTTTTGGAGCAGACAGGTGGCACCTGGCACTTGCACAGCCGAGCCATGCGAGAGCACAAATCATGGATCAGCAGAGCTAGCGCAGCAGCTGTCGGCTGGGATGCGGAAGTTGTTTAGTTGTTTGACTTCCACACAATCCGTCCCAGAAGCTGCAACATCTGTGATTATTAGGTTGTCAGCAAAAGATCACTCCACCATTCATGCACGCCTGGACTTCCGCCTCACTGAGACTCCCTTCCAATCCACTCACCTCGCCTCTAAACCACTCCGCATCGTCCACTCGCGGCTCGAACTCTCAAGCTTAGGTACTGGACCAATGAGACCATTCATTGCGAGCTGAGGCAAAGATCCAAAGCAAAACTTACAGTAAGCCACGAGAAGCTGCGAACAATGATAAGCGGGTAACAAATCACATCCAGCGTTCTTGCCGAATATCTCCTGGCACACACTTTCACTCTCCACCAAGCGAAGCACTTCCCCAACTCTCGCCATTGGCTGTTTGGGGGCCTGCCGATCTTAACTTCCAGTTTTGCTATGAACGCCTAGGCATAGCTACGAAAATCTAGGCAAAACTAGAACAAAACATTGAGAAAGCTAGAGACAATACGAACAACTGGAAGAAGCTAGAACAGGCTAGACCAAGCAAGAAATCGGACACTAGAAAGTCCAAACAACTCAGGTCTTCGGCAAAGGAGACATGAGATTCGTTTTCTCGCTGTCTGTACCCATAGTAGCACTTCACTGGTCTAGTGTTGCGTCTCTTAGACACTCTTGCCGGGCGGAGTTGTTGAAAAGACGTAGAGGCAGGTGGCTGCACCGAATGCCAGCACTGCCAGCTGTTGATATGCCACCTCTTCCGACATGTGCCGGCACGTGCTGGCCCATTTGGGTAGATCGCATGCCCGAGTTGCGGCAAGGATTCTCGTTGCTTGGCCTCGCATCCGTTCTTGGCCCTTACAGGATAGCTCCGTGCGAATGTGGCCATATGTTTGATGTAAGATCTAACTCCTGGCGAGGGCTCTGTAGGACCTCCGAGCACCTCAGGACACTCCGCAGGATGTGTGCGGGCTTTCCAGACAACACCTGAGGGATAATGTTGGGATGGGCAAGTGGGCACTCCAGGGATGCTCTGGGGGTGGTATTTACTCTGCGGCAGGACTCTGGGCATGGGCAATCATGACACACTTTGTTGGGGCACACTCTTGATACTCTCGGTGTACTTTCCAGGTATTCTCGGCGGAGGCCCGCGAGGGACACTCTGGGGTTGAGTCACTTTGGTGGGGTTCTGGGGGTGGAGTGACAAGACCCAACGGCGGTGGGCACTCCACGGACACTCTTGGGTTTCTGGGTGCAAAGCGGAGGAAGAACCAGGACATGTGCGAGAAGAAGGGAGGCATTCAAATGAAACAGCCCCATACAGAGGGTGGAGACCAACCCGGAGACCGAACGCGAAAAACGGCATGAATCCCGAAGACGGCAAAGCCAGAGCTGGAAAACCAAAGCAGTGGATAAATATCCTAAGCCTAACAGGCGCCTGTCAGACTCCAGACGCAGTATGTAACACATCGCAGCTGGGGAGGAAATTTCCCCGAAGTATGATTTTGTTCCTGCTGCCTCAAGAATGTGTGGAGATCTGGTCATTGAGCGGGGATGCACCTTGTGCTCGGGATGGTCGGGGCGTTCTCCACTGTTCATGTCGGCGATCGATCCACAATCACTTTGTTACACCATCCACATCCGTCCGCTCATCCCACGCACACATTTGCCGGACAAATTGTGACGAGCTGGTTCACCAGACAAGAAGCTTGCAAAAGGCAGCACCGCCAATCCAACCAGGACCGGATGAAATGTCTCGATCTCCTGTCTGTGTTATGCATCATGCAGCAATGCCATTCCTGTTGCGGGAAAGCTAGTTTCGGACTCGGAACCGCTGGGAAAAGGCCAACCTTTCGATTTTTCACGTAGGCAAGGTTGCGGTCGCAAGGGTGGAAGTGCCTGAGTTTCCGCTGCAAGTTCATTGCTCAGGCCACATATCAAATCATACGTGTTCGACCGCAGGGCCTGTAGCTCAGCATGCTCAGCTTGTGACTTGTGACGTGCTCGAGGTCATGACGTGTTGGCTGACAGTAGATCTTTCCAGGCTTCAAAGTGCTTAGATTTTTCAGTATGCAATCACAAGGTTGCATTCGTCGGCGGAATTGACTTTGCAGAGAATCGGCACGATACGTGCGCTCCCAAGTTTGCCGTGCGGAACTGGATGAGCTCAGCGTTGAAATGCGGAAAGCATCGATCCGTTGTGTCGCAGGCCGGAACACGTCCGGCCTGATCCACGTCTTGTTCAGGCAGGATCTCGGAAATGTGATCGAAGGCAATGACGACCTGCGAATTAAGGTGGCTGTTGACGCACGCCATCCCACCGGAAACGAAAAGCCTTGGCAGGACAACCTCCGCTTGACCGTTGTGAGTCTAAAGTGTGTCTTGCAATGTCTTGCATCTCAAGTCCATCCACAGGATGCCATGGTCAAGGCTGGGCCTCGAGAGCCACGCTCCCGCTAGCGAAGTCTCCATGCAGGTTAAAGGACGCGCCGCAGAACAAGTCGCCATGATCATGGTGGAGCGCTGGTGGTCCGCTGCCATGAATCCATGGGATGTGGCAATAATGGACGTCAGATGAGCTACCAGTAGCACCCGAATCCGGCAATGGGGAGAGAGGGCCCAATGCAACGTGACAGCAGTTTGACATCTGACATGCTCGACCTGTCGTGAGTTGTGTCCTCGCCTGGTGTTTACAGAAGTGGGTGGGTTGTTGAAGTTGAAGAATCCGGAGTAATTGGATGGTTCCGAAAAAGACTTGTTAGAAATCCACTTGCTCGGACACTGTTTGACCGTCCGCAGTAGACTGGCAGCAGGGGTAGCCTCAGTCTTGCTTCCGTGTTGACCTTGCGTTGCATGCCACTATATGCCACTTCTGTACACTAGATTCAGAGAAAGGCGCAAGGCCTGCGTGGGGAGTAGCTGAACGGCCTAGTCTGGCTTCAAAGATATAGCACCACCGTGACTAGAAGAGCGCTGTTCGGCGTCACACGGCAGGACTTACTGCAAATCTGTCGGGTTGGCACGTGCCCAAGCGATGCGGCCTGTTTCAGCGAAGCTTGATTGCATGCAATGAATAATGCCGAAGCGACTCGCCAGAGCTTGTCGACTGCTCTTCGCTTTTACTGTGAGTTAAGGATTCTCGACAGTACGTTGTGGAATGTCGTGGCCCTTAGCATCCAGAGCGACAGGCGGTGATCTTGTCGTGGAGCTCAGGTCAAGGGTGCGCTGCACGACAGCCTCTGGAAGGATTTGCAATGTGGAAGCCCTGGAGTCCTGGAGGATGCCAGAAAAGAGCATATTTTAATATGTTCCTGTCAGGCAACCAGATGCCGAACACCGGCATCCTGGGGAAACTGCAGCTCAGCCTGGGTGGCGGATTGTCAGAGGAGAGTTGCTGATGCAATAAACCATGAAACAACTTCGAAGCGTGACAGTCGGTGGCATGCCGGAAGCGCTGCAGGAGCGCCAAGTCCGGATCGAGACACCTCAGGTTGATGACTCATGTTTGGGCATCTGTGTATTGCAGATGCCATGACATTGCTTGTCTTCGTTGCATCTGCCAGATACAGAGCGAGTACTTGGATCCAAATGCGGATAAGTCAGATACTCAGATCGACTGCATCCATAAAGCCAGGACTAGCAGTTTCGACTGAGGTTCGTCGTCCTCAAGAGGGGAAAGGCTGATGAGGCGACTTCCATGCAGCCTTGGTTTCCTCCGCGGCCGAAGAACTCCAGGTGGACATCGTCGGTCTTCATGCGCTGGATGCCCAGGCACATTGCGCTTGGGGTTCTGTGGCGACTGCTGGCAGGAGCTGAGGAGTGTAAAGCTGAGCAGGTCCCGGAGGAGATTGCCATCTCGTTGGATGGGATCCGCCACTTCGCTGCCAGCGTTCCATGCTGATCATGCATGATCATGCGATTGCTGCCACGATGATGGCTGGGTCGAGATGCGTTGGGTTCCGGCACATGCAGCCTGCAGCCCAGGTGTGCGGATATTCAATTCTACGCAGGTTGGGATTGCTTTGGGGCGACATGTGCCTTGCTCGTTGAACATTACCCGTAGACTCTTCACCATGATGGAGCAACGCTCACGGCGAGGTGGCTGCCGGAAGGTAGGTCCGTCAAAAGACCTGTGCTGCCGGCAGCAGAAGTGTGGCACAGTAGCCAGGTGTTGCTTATGAGGGAGGAGAACAAATGTGCAAAGTCACGCTGTCTGGTACCAACATGTGGATGGGAACAAGCCCCAGATCTTGTCATTCGTTTCATATCACTCAGATGATGGTATGCTCTGCTCAGGCACGGCTACCACCGTGCAGGACTTCTGCCGAGCATGTACACCACTCAATCGCAACCGCCTCGAGCTGTGAAGTGCATCTTCTTGAGCAACTGTCGCCGGATCTTGAAAGACATGCAAAGCAGCACTACGAAAAGATGAGGTGAGGGACCCAAAGAAACAAGATGCTGCAGGCAACATGCAGATGTTGGAGCTTCTCATGGTAAGAGAAGTCGAAGCTTGCCTGAGCGGTGTAATGTCGACTGCAAATGTTCAAGACTTCCGACTTCTAAGAAGTCCTGCCGAAGCCGGGTTTCTGCAAGCTGAAGTAGTTCGAGATGGTCGCAAACAGCAGAGCGCCCCATCCGAGCTGCAGAACCACCGCACTTGCGGAATTTGGTTCGGGGAGACATGTGGCAGGTCAGTAACCGCAACTAAACCGGACGAAAGAAGCAATCTGCATATTCGCAACGGAGTGTGCAGGAACGACTGAGCAAGATTCAGCTCCAATGCTGCAGGACAGCTACACAACATTTCTCAGCATGATTCGCAATGCGAAGAGGCGCGGCACCAGCGGCGTAGGGTGAGTTTTGTTTGATCACCGACTCGACAGCCTCGCAGTCGCTAGAGCACAGGCGACTCCCTGCTGCCCTGCCTCTCAATCCTCCAATCTCAACGTGCCCGGCACATCATGCCGCTCTCAACATGATCGGCAGTGCTTCGAATGCCCCGTGGGGACACCTCCTTGTTAAGAAATGTTTCAGAAATGAGGAACATCCCAGAACAAGAATTTGTAAATCGCAGCTCGTTTTTTCCGCTTGCAGGTTTGTTTTCATCGAGAACCAATACTTCTCCAGCGACTTCCCCTCATCGTCACCGGAATGTTGAGGCCACAGAGATCCCAGAGAGGCCTTAGGCAAGGACATCGGCAGAAGACTAGTGCAGACGTTGTAACTTCGCGATGCTTGCAAATGCAGACAAGGTCAGCACGCGCACGATCGTACATCCGCTGTTCTGCGCCATGGCTTCATTCGGCCACGAGAACCCTGAAACTGAGCCTGTGAACTGCAGCAGCTGCAGACCGCTTCAGTGATCTGGGGTCGATGACTGAGGTACAGTGGTGCGACCAACCGTGTGGCCGAGGTGAGACCACCTCTGCTTGCAATGTCGGAGAACACATGCATTCAATTGCATTCACGAAAATACGCTTGGAGTTGGCAGATCTAGCCTCGAGCGCTTTGGAACAGCTTGTCAGATCAGAACACCGCCATGAGCCGTGCAGTAGTTGACGGTGACGCTACTCCAGTATTGCCAGTGCAACTGCTCCTGACAAGCTTTTAACTTTAAGGCTTAGGGCGTTGTGCGTGGGGAGCTTCGTCTTAGGGAGCGTGGCAAGGCCAGAGTTCGGAAAAAAGCATAGCGGTGATGTCAAAGTATGCAGTCTACTTCCTAGCCACTAGTAACGTTGAAGCGATGGCAAAATTCTTTGTGTTGCCTTCGCCTCACTCACGTAACTTTGTTTTCGCTTTGGTACTGTCCATTGTTCCGGTCAGAGGTTTCCAAGAAGTTGAGGGACAATTGACTGTTAGAGGTAACATAGGGTTCTGCTGTTGAGTGCCTTGAACCGTGGCTAAAGCTCGGCTCAAGCTGCAACTGGGTTTTACCACAACGGAGCAATGGCACCGTATGTCGTTGCCCCGTCTTGCTGACGATTGTGACAGCTCACCCGATGCCGCCCCACCGTGCAGGTTCCTCTACTTCCTGTAAGGGTGATCTTCGGATTGTCACCTACCGACCTGGCCTCTACCCCTACCACCTCGGGTGCCCTACGTACCGATGCTGGACGGGTTGTCCTTTGGCTCGGGCCTTATTGACACAACATTGCCCAGGCACCTCCGAGCATCCCGTGCATGTGGCGATGCGGGGGCGCGCCGACCAACGAATCCGACTCGCCTTGCCCAGCAGTCACTGCACGCTGTGCAATGCCTGGGCCTCAGTGCTGCAACAGCTTACCTTGCCAGCCCGGTTCCGCAGTCTTGCTTTGGCTCGGGTTTCAGGTTTTCCCGCCCGCCTGGTGTGGAGGGGAGGGGGAGGACTTCCCCCAAAACGAGCCTAAGGACAGTAAGGCTGGCGGAAGGTACTGTGCCACAGCATTCTCTGAAAGAGCTGCAGCCGAGGCGGGCCTTTACTGGTCGAGAGTGGATCAATCGTTAAGGCCTTTGATGCTTTGCATGCAAGAAGCTAGACTTGACATCTCGCCCGAGCCAAGAACGAGTCCTTTCTCAGACTTGCACAATGAGTGCCTCCGCGAAATGGCAACCCATGGGGTACAGACTCGGCGCGAGGAATCTTTGCGCCGGGCGCGGTTACGAGACCGAACTGCTGGGCAAAGCCTGGAAGGATGGTGGTGCCGCTCTGTTCGTGGACTCTCGTTCCGAGGATGGTTGTGTGAGGCCAATGTGTCGGAGAGTCGGAGAGCAGGGTTCCGAAACAGAACTTTTCGGAACCCCGACCGCACCATCTCTTCGGGCAGGCCCATCAACGATGTCATATGAGTCAGCTGGACCAAGTTCAACCACCTCCCAGCTCCCTAGCCCTTTCAACAGGTTGTGGCTAGGCAACCCCTGTGGTGGCGGTCCCGGCGTCGATGCGCGAAGAGGGACGTCCCGCGGGCTTTCAAGTGGCATTTTCTTAGGGACCACCCAAATACCTGAGTTCGCTGTCAGACTTGGTCATTATCAGCTTGGCCATGCCCTTTGGGCCTTTGGTTGGGTCGGGTCATTGGGCGAGTTCGTGGCCTCGAGCGCCGCTGCCAAAACGCACCAATGTGGTCTCCTACGACTCCAAGTGGCTGTTGGGTGAATGTGGAAAAGATGGCCGAGGAGAACCAGCAAGTGGCAGGAGTTTTGGGGAGCATTGGACTTTGTAATGTTGCAGGCCGAGGTGCCCCTGCAGTCTAGCTTAAAACAACCTTCGAGAAGCTCTTGCCCATTCGTGAGAGGCTACCACTCCTTGAGCAGCTGGAGAGACCCCGCATCACCGGTGGAGATGCCACCCTGTCTCGGATAGGGGCCGTGGACTGGAAAGCGGAAGAGGTTAGGCGCTACAAGGAAGCACTCGGTCAGGTGCTGGCAGAGGTCAAGGATGAGCACGAGATCATCTCGATCATGGAACTGCTTGGGTTCGTAGTGCTGGCCTGCCACAGGCGATCTCTGGTGACAAATTCGAATGTCCGCTCCTGGCTCTTCCGAAGGCGACTCCTTGTGCAACTGGTACAGCGGCTCGAACCCAAGTTCGGGTTTGCCACGCACCCAATCAATTTTTGAACCTACCGTACTCAGCGTGCCGACTTTCTTATAGCAGGGAAGGCTTGACACAGTTATCCGATACTCGAAAGGCTGGTCGCTTTGGCTCGGATCGACTTGCCCAAGTTGCCCGCCAACTGGCGCACTCAAGTGAATCAGTGCATCCGGCCATGGTCGTTGGTTCAGGTCTGCGTATGCACGCCCTGGGCTGTATTACTCACCGAGTCACCGAGGTGCCGGGCTGCCGGAAGCTACTAGTCAGTAGTTGCGGGTTGGCCACGAAGCTGTTTGTCCCGTTGCAGAGTCGAAGAGATGACTTAGGCGTTGGTTTCCCCGTTCGCGGATCGACCAGTATGTTACTTCTTGTGGGGGTCGGTCTCTGCAAGAAAAAGGCAGATCCTACTGGAGGCCATCCCTGACCTCTTAACGCTTGGTGCTGTCGGGCTTGGGTATCCTGCCCACCTGATAGGTCATGCGCCTCCGGAAGGAGGGGTAAGCGTGCTTTCTGTTATTGATGGAGGGTGGTCTGATGCTGCGCACGCGTACCTGTATGCCACTGCCGATATGTCCGCTGCCTCGAGAGCCCGTGCTAGGGACATGCTCAGGGCAAGACCTGTTTTGCGCACTGTTCTGCACCAACAGTGGCAAGGACCTTGACCTCATCTTTCTGCCCGACATGCTGATGGACGAGGTCTACGGCATGCAGGTGCCGGGTCTAGGTGGTGTCTTTGCGGAGGCTGGGACTCCCGAAAGCAGGTATCTGGTTGACGCGTATGGCGGACGCCCTCAGGTCCTGGCCGTTCCCGCAGTGGAGACACAAAGGGACATCCCAGAGGTCAGCGCTTTCACTAATGGTGGGCGAGCCAACCTTCAACTTCCAGGACCCCGCCAGGAGAAGATGGGCGTGCATCGACAGTTACAGTCAGCATGGGCTCCGGAAGCCACGCTTCCCCGTGCCGATGTCGCAGGCGTCCATGTGCAGGCGAACTACCGCCAGCGCTGCAGGGGCTGCCATGCTCCCGTAGCTGCACCTGGAGTTCATTCAAAACGCAAAGGACGAGGTCGCGCGGATCGAGCTGGAGCAGCGCCTGCGAAGGCTTAACTTAACTCAGGACGACAGCTTCTTCTGCTCGAACGTCTGGCCACAAGTGCTCCGCTTATGGTCGGAGGCCACTGCGAGGCGTACCGCCGCCGGGCCGCCGAGCTGGCCGACGGTGCCACTGACGCCGCGTCACTGGCAAAGGTGCCTCGCGCATCCACCGAGACCTTGCCTATGGCGCCGGCAGTAGAACCGGCACAACTCAGACTGCGCGCTGTGGGCCTCGGGGTGCCGGAGGACGAGGACAGTCGTTCCGACTTTGTTTTCGATTCACTGCTCGCACCCACCCGTCGCAGGCCGCGTAAAGTTTGTTCGTGACTGCTCCACTTGCTGCTTTTGGCTTTGGTACTGCCGAGTGCGAATACGCAGAACTTGACTGTTAGAGATAACGTAGAATTCTGCCGTTGAGTGCCTAGAACCTTGGCTAAAGCTCGGCTCAAGCTCTCTTTCTGTTGGCCGCCCGCCCGGATTTCGTTGGGGCCGCGGCGTGGACCATGTCACACTGGCCGTAATTAAAAGCCACAGTCGTTCCGACTGTGTTTTCGACAGTGGCACTCCGCCGAGTGCAGCTCCTTTGTGGATTGCACATGGACTTCGGTTCCGTCCGAATCGGTCTGAACTGCAAAGGTGTTGCAAGAGGATCCCTCTGCACCTGCTGCAGGAGGTGATACGTTGCGCTCAACATTGGACGGTAATTTGCCCCGAACAGTGCCGCATCTCCCCTCTCTGCCAGCTCCTCAGGGGAAACCTACACAGAGGTCTGGGTTAAAGGAGCCATGGAGGACACTGTCTACCTCCGGGTCGAAGGAACCACCGATACCGACGTTGACTGGAAGCGCCGCATTGAAAAGATTGTTCGTGAAGGCTCCACTTGCTGCCTTAGTTTTGGTATGGTCGAGTGCAAATAGGCAGAAGCAAAATACGTAGACTGGGCCTGGGCGGTAAGCTGCGGCGTGTCAGGCGTGACACGGGTGTCACGGCCGGGAGGTTTCGTGTCAGGCCTGACATCTGACATATGTGCCCGGCTTGACACGAGCGTCACGAGAACTTCTGTGACACGAGAAAGGGTTCGGGTTTAGGGTTTAGGGATAGCATCGTTTTGTGCAGGGATCAGGGCTTGGGGTGTGGGGATTGGGGTGATGTTTCAGGGTTTGGGTTTTCGGGTGTTTTAGGGTTTGCGCATTATTCTCTGTTTTAGGGGTCGCGCTAGGGCCTGAGTCACGTCACCAGTCACACTTCTGAGTGTCACGGCCTGCCATTTGCAGCTTCGCAGCTTCTGTCGAAGTTTCACAGCTTCGCAGCTTTGATCGAGTAGGTCACACTCCGGCCCAATCCGTGTAAAATCTAGGAAACGTATGTTTGAAGTCCAGTACTCCAAAGTTGTGATTGTTTTGATTTGTCAACAGCACTACTAGTTACTAGTTCGATCTCGTGCATGAAATACATGACATAACTATGAAACCAGTTCTTAGGGAACCGTGTTTTTTCTCTTGTTCCTCTTTCCCTCGTCTCCTGCTACAACTGGGCCCTAGCTATCTGTGCACGTCAATCGACGTGGAAACACGTCCCGAAAGCTTAGCACTATAAGTCAGAGGCGAAACTCGCAGACATATCAAAGCCGAGACATGCATGCATGCATATGTGCATGCACGCATACACACACACACACACACTTTGGC